CCCTTCCCCGTCCACCTTTATTCTTTTCTTTACAATAAGGCTTTCAAATAAGTCATGGTTGTACGGCAGTGAAGCATCGGTGTTGAACACTGATGTCATGCTGTCGATGATGATGATGATGATGATGTCGCAAGTCCTTGCAGCCACCAAAGCATAAGCTGGCTGCCAATAATTTTTCGTATGTATTAGCGTAATCAGAACTTCAAACTACTTCCAATCTGAGGCCTTATTCGTCTCAATTCAGCAGCTAACACTGTCTGAACGAAAGTTTGTTTGGAGCAAAACTCCACACTTCTTTAGTCCTAATGGCATGGACTCATTTAACTGTAGTATGTCTTTTCATTCGGCTAAACCCTCAAAGCTTTCATGTGGGGCGAAAATTGTATATATTTACTTCGCGCGAAAGACGGTTTGAAGATGTTAGAATCCTGCGACATATCGTGTATATTAAAGCATAGAAGTTTGGTCATTTACACACGGTGACTTGTTCGGAATCTCCTTTCCTGCACCTGGTCAAGGATTCAACCGATTTCCTTAACTGACCTCCACTAGAAACCCTCGGGTCCGGTGTTTTCACTGCATCTGACGTTATTCCTGGGGCACGGGATTCTCAACTACGAGCTGCCTGGCAACCGATTTCTTACGCACTGTACCTACAACATCAGTCCAGCGGATATATCAAAGTCACTGGCGAAGAAAACGGGCAATGTTCGCTCTATAGATTGAAAGGCGTTGTTGATTATGGAAAAGATGCTTAAATCTTTGCTGGAACGGAGTGCAAGCTGGCAAAGAGAGTTAAAATGTGTTCCAGGTAATCCGAACTGAACCTCAGTATCTGGAAGTACTTACTAACCCACCCATCAATTGTGTCTAGGCCGTGAAAATGGAAACCTCCACGTCCGCCGATTCTACAGAAACTGAGAAGGCAGTTGTGGAAACTGTCTAACAGTAGTCTACTCGGACAAATTTACTCCGTATTAACCTGATTTCAGAATGCCTGTTCAGATGTGAGATTACGGAATGGGGAAAAATGAGAACGTTTGGTTGTATAGCTAAATTTGGAAATGTATTGCGATGGTATGCATACGGTACCACAAAATTCGATTAATACATCCTACTCACCTAAAGGTATTTCATTCAACTCAGCACTATAATGGACACAATTTTTCTGGGGAAACTGTTTACGGGTTTAAAGCAGTGATTCATAGACAACCAGTATAGCAAGCACACCTGGCAATCGTCACGATACAATGAAGGTAACATCATAGGAGCATATCTCACGTTCTTTGTACTAATAGGTGTTTGCACGTACGGCTTAGGGTTCCCAGTAGATAAGGACTACGTTTATCACAAGTGTCAACTGATTTTATGGTTGCGAGCTACTTATATCTTCCCTGTATGCCTCTTAGCACTCAGACAATTTTCAATTGGTGGTATTTACCAAACGGTTTTTGTTGACCTCAGTCAATGAATAACTAAATCCACAAACAACCGAACAACTCCGAAGTGATATCGCTCAGTCAATCTTCGCAGTGAAGGCAACGCGAGCAAAGGTCATCTCACCACGAACGATTTTTAGTTTCGCGTTTTTTTACGCAACTGATCGATCCAAGACGATCACAGCGTTTGCTCAAAATACACACCTCTGGTGTGCACATAAAGGCCGCTTCAAACGAGAGTTTAAATGCATCTGGTTAACACAACCCCACAGCTCAGTAAATTGGTCTAACCCATCTGACATCTCGTCATACCAAATAACTTGCATTTCTAAATTATGGGCCCCAAAGCTTACCCAGTACATACCGATTCATACGGTTCAATCGACCGACCCAAGACAGGTTATATGCTTGCTCCAGGTGTGCCATTGAAATCCATTTTACCATTTGTGGTCATGTCGTATCGGCATGCAAAACCGACAGGGTGGAGGCACACTGCAACCATGTGCATTATTAAGCCTGAAAGCCGTATAAATAGAGTCGCTGTTAAAGTGTTGGTCCAATTATCAACTGACAGCAACCAGTGGTTGTTGAATTCACACACAAGTAATCTCTCCTGGATAACAAAATGAGGACTACGCATCTTCCAGTGAACCAGTACTCACGAAAGAAAACCTAGAGTCGTAAGACGTTGGAAAGGCGATGGATAGGCTTGCAAGCTTCGTCTACTTGGCTCGGTTTCAAGGCAAATTGGAATTCGAGTTCAGGTGACACACCTGCTCGAGACGTCAATGAATGCTTGGCAAAGTGGGCAGATAAATGTACCTGGGTCTTTTATGCTCTGGTCCCGTGAATGCTGGTCATTCGTACCATCGGTTGTGAGGTAAACCGTGTTCCCACTTTTACCAGCAGAACCCAATTTATTCTTGCCTCACATGTGTGTTCAATCTGTACTGATCACAAAGTATTAATGTTCGACAGTCTGATTTTTTAAAATATGCACTTTGTTAAAGGTCAAAACTGATATGCATACTTCATATATGATGGTGCAACGATATCAACTGAAAAGTCGTATTAATTAGCAGGCATTAAAGCGGTTTTAGTGGATCGATTCAAGCACATTATTTTGTTCCGCTTCTAGTCTCTGATATTCGAGGGTCTGATATTTAAAGGTATAAGCTTCCCTGCATGATAGGTTCGTGGAAGATCTTTAACTGAGTATGTAAATGGAGATATCTGTATTTTAGACGCTTGTCGGAACTTCCCATCAAGTTTGGAAACAGGAATGTCGAATAGTTAGTAGAAACAAATTTTTATTGTAATCTCTATGGTTCTCGAAGTAGAAGCAATAAATTAAAGAAACGTATAGCATTTGAAATTTGAAGCCCTTATTTCGCCGCCCTCTTATGCTGAGCTAAACTTTAGGTAATTGATCTCAAATTAGGGTGAAAATGAATGAAAGTCTGTTGATTAGCATACTTTGGATACTGCTCTCTTCTACTCCTCAAACACAATATAGTCGTGAGTATGCTTGTTAATCCGGATTTTTAAAGAGCGTGGGGCGACATGGCTCAGTGGTTAGATCGCGAATTTACTGAACCGAAGGTGCATGACTGAAACCCGGCCTCTGCCTCTCCGCTTGCCCTGTTTAGGCTTGGGCGACCCGGGTGTATCCCAGTCCTGGTGCTCCATTCAGGTGACATGACAGCTAGGCACCGAAAGGGTGTTACAGCTGAATGTCTCTCTCTCTCATATGAGAAGTGAGACGTAGAGATTATACAACATCAAAGTATAAAAGGACGGCCTACATGGTTACCTGCAAATTCCGATTGGTTCCTGAAAATGTTATGGAATGTTAGGTTTGTATTTGCAAATTGGGTGTTAACCGGTGCATAATTGAACGCTTATTTTCTAATCAGCTACAAAGTACGATCGAGAAAGATTAAGGGAATACGGTTCAAGTAAGAGCGAAACCAGCAGCCTATTATCCAGGTTTTCCACTGATCTTCGGAAAAATAAAATATACAAGCGCTTTTCGAAAGTTTGCCATACAGTGACCTGTGACTGAACGGTTTAGAAAACTGATCGAAGTTGAAGAACAAGCGATACTGACATACACTGTTCCAGCCAGAATCCGCAACTCCTAGTGTTCGAGTAAGGCAACAATGATCAGATGAATTTAGAACAAGGCCTATCAGTGGACACTTAGGTCGATTAATAATTCCATAGATTGTTTTCTTGGCTTGAACAACATTTTCTCAAGATTAACTGGCCAAATATTGGATGTGTCAAACAAATTTTTCTCTTGTCAACGCAGAGTTAATTTCTCAGTCGTTTGGATAGCTGTGAAGACCCTGCTTCGCCTAAATTTCCATCGCAAAATATCATACTTTATGGAAATTTTGCAGAATTACACAGACTCGTGAGTAGTTTATCAACCCACACTTGAAACCATCCGTAGTTTCGCGCAACTGACAGGGATGGGTTAAAGAAATATTCACTCCAGAACCGATTCGAAGCTCATACACCAAAAATTTATTGTCAGATAAAAACGATTTTTTTCCTTTGGAGAGAGAGAACCAGCTACCTATCGCGTGATGCAAAAATGCATCAGCCCATATCGATGGCCCCCAAAAAATCCTGTGGTTCCGTTTGTTTCAGAAGTCACCCATCCTTTGCTTATTGTGCAGTTGACAAATCGAAAACTCCCGTATTCTTGGTTTGGCCATGATCATGTTGCTTACGTTAAGATCGGTTGCATTCATCTGCTAACAGCCCCTGTGTCGGAATATACTACTGATAAAATGTGCATCTGATGGAAGGTCGGTTTGGGAAGAATTATTTAACCACTTAACGGCTTTTAGTATTCAAGAAAAATACAAAAAAGTTTTAGATAACTTTTGTGGATGCTGAACTTTTCAAAATAAGGCTTTTTGATTTGATGTCTGATTGCCTCTGACTACACTTGAAGCTACTGGTCTCTAGTTAAAGTCACGCACTCTTGTAGCGCCTGTATTCTGGCACCCAGGGTGGGAAAGAAAGAGTGGCCTAGTTTAAAATTGCATGCAGTACGATGCAGGAATAGGTAGCCACAGCAACCAAGCTCTTTGGTTGAATTCAAGCTGAAAGCCAAAAGCTATGTACATGTCACGTGATGCGTGCCAGAAATGCAACCTGTCTTGTAGGCAAACTCACCTCTGCTAATTGTTAAATCATACCGGCTTATACTGTCACAGGTTCGTTCCACGTTCACACTCTGATTTGATCATCAATATCAATATCTATGGATCTAAACTAACTCACTTTGACATTCTTCGGGTATCGTGTGCTTTGGATTTGTCCCAAGTAAATCAGACGAACAAAGCTACTTTGAAACTTACTGTTTTACTCAGATAAGTAGGTGGGGTTGAGCATCCGGATACACACCTTGCCATATGTGAAGTGGTCAAAACCAAGGCAGTTTGTATCGTACCTGACAGGTCCATAGTTTTTAGTCCAAAACTCCAACCACACCCCGTGACCCTGCGTGAGCGAGTAGGAGGTCAATCGATTTGTGTAATTTTCACTTCTGGCGGGAATTCACTGTAACCAATCACTGTGTGTTTCATAGCAGAATACCTCTGCAAACCCGAAGTACAACTTATTGAACAGCAGCTGACATGTAGTCAGGGGCTACGATCATTAATTTCTGCTGTAAAATACGCTGTTCGACCAGGTTCACCGTGAGATTTATTAGGCTGCTGAACATGACGATGAGTGGCAGAATTGATGGGAAACTGCTGAATATTTTTCCTACTTGGACGTTATAGAGGCTTATTTACCTAGGTTGAAAAATTTCCCAACCGAGGGGACCCACAGATTGTTCAGTTTGCTTGAACCTTAAAGCTTTGCAGCAGAGCAGTCCAAACTGGGATTCTATAACCCATGTCTGGCTTTTTCGACGAGCTTGATAATTTTGTCGCTGTTTTGTACTCACTGAAATAAGTGGCCTGACGACAAATCGCAAAAAAAACAAAATATCAGGCTTAGCGAACAAGTCAGCCACCAACCACACCAAATGACCTAGCAGCTTCCTATTTAGAGTCTTGTAGGTTTATCAATCTCTCCTACAGAGTACACATGAATTGCCCCAGCAGTGTTCTAAGTGCCGGCCCAATTGCTTGGTTCTAAATACATCTAGGAAAGTTTCAGATAACTCAGGTTTTCTCTGAGACAAACGGGGAAGTAAATAATGTTAGATAACAAAAAGTCAGGAATTATTCTGAAGGCACAAGTGAATGAGCAGTCGAGTATGAACGAATACTGTTCCGAATGAGGGCCCTCGTCGAAACACACAAAAAATGGGATCATGTTGGTCAGCGCCAATGGTGATACTAATTAATATTTCTGAATAGTTTGCAGCAGACTCACAGGGTTCAACCATCTGACCAAATTGAAAGTCACAAAATGTCGCTGAATTTTAGAGTTTCATTTGCGGTCCGTAAACCTGTCAAATTCGTCAATCGATGAACACTATCCTTCTTTAATGATAGGCGTCACTTAATCCAGGATTTCACAACTTTGCCCGAATTCTTTGTCTCTATGCCTTAATGGATTCAAGGTCAAACAGTCATCAGTTAAAAAGCCGGTTTAGTTTTTTCGCCATCGACAGTTTCCAGTCGACCAGTCCGGATGCATGTGAATTGAGATGTGCATGCTTCGCAGATGTGATTGTTATTTGCTGATCACGGATTGTGTGTGCTCAGTCATCATTTAGGCGATCAATAATCCGAATGGCTTGCCGCTGATATTCTCTCTTTTGGTTCCACAGGTGTCTGTGAACATCATAATCTCTGATGGTCTCTGTGGTATGAAACACTCAGCCGAGGAGATAAAACATTTGACAGTGGAATACCGTCTTATTTTTTCGGCATTGTCTGAATGGGCGGAAACAATGGCGTGGCTGAATGGGAATTTCCTGTTTACGAAGAGTTTAGATGAAGCAAACCCGGTATTTATCTGATAATCGCACCCAGAGTGGTTTTGACTTATGGACACGTATTCGTTTCTCTTTCAAGGTTTGTCCAATAAAAAACTATCATGTAGCCAGCATTTCTATCTACTAGTAATGCAATCGCCTCCCTTTTGGTTACCGTCATGGATGGTTTTCACTAATGGTTCAGCGTACTGCTTTCCGAAAGCGATGAAAGCGAAATCCTTCGTCCTCTGACTTGTGAAGGAAGCATCTGTTTGAACCGTTTAAAAGTGTGCAGGTGATAGACGGATTGATACTATGCTTACTGCTTGTACTTGCAACCGTTTCGTCATTTCTTGGGCTGCTACCAACCGTTCATCGGTTCGAAATAATAGGCTATTTTAGACATGAATTTTTCCGAACAGTCTTTTAGTAACTATTTTCTACGCTTTAAAAGTATTGGTTCCGTTATTCTGCTGTTACTCGACGTCACTGGCCTCGGACGGTCCAAACGTCAAACAGACATTGTCATGTCGAGATGAATGTGCTCAATGCGCTTCCGGTGGACCTTTTCCCCAGTTTACCTCAAGACTGAATTCATCTCGTCTTGTGACGCACTGCCCAAGCACACTGATGAAATTGATAATCAATTACATTCAACCTGCCATTCGATCTCTACCTCTCCGTAATCCCAGTGTTGTTTACCTTGATATGCTGTCGCCAACCCTTTGTCAGAATGCACACTACGTGCAAACAAAGTGAACCCAATAGAAAATACAAATGTGAGGATGTGCCGGCTACTTTTCATTAGGTCTCATTAGGTCAAACGGATAGTAATTAGGCTGTAGAATTACGAAGGCAATCAGCTGGCGAAAACAATAGAGCTGGTTGAGACACGGATATGGTCACCAGTCGGTAAAATCTGTAACAACCTTTGAGGTCACTGATACGCCTGTTCACGCAGATGAACACCAGAAATCGCCCCGATGTTACCGAAGCTAACGCTATCTGGACAACGCGAATGATATGAAACGAAAAATCAAAGGAAACTACCGACAAACGTTGATATCAGGTTGTGTGGTGCTCCCTCTGAAGAAGAATCGGTGATTTCCGCTGGAACGGTCGGAAAGTGTTCCCCTTATGTGAATCTATTTCTCAACGAAAACCACTGTATTCTGTCCCCGCACATGCTCATCAACTGAATCACTTGGACTGGTATTGGCGGACTGTTCCTAAGCCAATGAATGTGCCGCTTACAATGAGTTGTTATCAGATTGGCTAAATCGTCTGCGGAGAGCTGCATGCATGGTACTTGTTGATAGGCATTTTCGAGAAAACCGGTAGACGAACGTGTTTTGGTCTCCCTGATAAAAGGCGGCGAAAGACGATCTAAAGGTCGCCTTACAAACACCACATAATTAGCCTTTCAAAAATAACCTAGCAGCTTGTTTATTGATCAGAGTGACGCAGCTTGGCACGTAACCCACATATAATCCTTGGAGCCTAATTGAATGAAGCTACCGATTTTTTACCAAGCCCTCCTGGAACTAAACTGCGGGCGACTGAACCTCTGTTTTTTTAGTATAAACACGTCGGTTACCAGTTCAGATTTCGGAAGAACGAAATGGTCATCTTTGGTCTACCTAATCCGTCAGATATCTTACTATGAGTAAAAATACGACTGATATTCGTTTTGAATTGTCATTCATCATTTTTGTAAATAACTGGTTAAAAAATAAACAAACATGACAAACAAAGGTCTGTTGCTTCCTCAGGGTTTCTTTGAGGGTACAAGGTGCTTACCAATCATTTGAACTTTGCTGAAAGGTAAAGAGTTTCCCCGGTTGTTCGATCAAAATATTTGCCATTTCCGGTGGAAACGAATGAGGAAAGGACTTTTGGCACCGGGAGTTCCATTGACGTTTGGGCTGGTAACTCGGCTGTGATGAAAATGACTGACTGGATGTCCTTTCCGACGGGAACCGCGAACCGAGCGTTTCACAGGATTCACAAAAATAAATCAAATTATCGACCCAACAATACAAATTGAAAGACTTGGCACTTCCTTCGGTATGAAATATCCCTAAGAGCTTTTGGACATACACAGTAAGTTGGACATCCTTGATGAGATTCTACTGCGTTTTGAGCCACACTCTGCCCCTACGGCGCCCCCATTTGAAACTGATTTAGTCCGATTAAACGACAGAATTCGACGCACATTGATTCGTCGTGTACGATCTGTTGACGAATCTAGGATGAGCCGAGCTGCAAGTTGAAAAACGGCTTCTATGTTGGATCGATTAAGTGCCGAACACTCTAAATGAAACAGAGCTCCTATTTGTTTACGTATTTTTTCGGCTTCATCAGGTTTCACGCAATCTATAACGGGGGTCCCTCGACGGCTGTTTCCGCCCTGACTGAATACCGGCGCACATCGTCTGTCTGATTTGCACCCGATTAGCATGATGGGGATAGATGGACAGTAGGAACGAACTTCACCAACCCACGTGTGGACAATGTTATCCAGGCTTGTTCTACAGTCGACTGCATAGCATAGAAGAATAAGACTTGCGCCAGGATAAGCGAGCTGTCGAATCTGATCAAACTCTTCTTGGCCGCCTGTGTCCCATAGTCCGAGCGTGATATGGCGGCCATCCTCCAGTTCCACATCTTTCGCCGTAGTTTCAAACACAGTTGGAATATAATCCGAATCGAATATATCTTGAACGTAAGCTTGTAGCAGGGCTGTTTTGCCTACCATACCATCACCAACAACCACGACTTTTCTGGATGAATCCAACATTACACACGAAGTAGAGCAGTGTATCCAGTGCCCGCTATGTGAATGCAACGTGTGTCTAAAGCACAAAGTCGCTCATGTGATCTGCTTGCGCCGTGCGATCCACCAACACCATTAGTAGGATTCTACGTGGTTCGCATCTGTTCAAGTGACACGCAGACCAATCAGGAAAGCGGCTGAACCGGGTCTGTGATTGGTAGATTTGGCAGATTCACTGCACACGAAAATCATGGAATGTCGGGTGCTTTCTGGTAGCCATCAGTCACCTGTAGTACACAGCGTCTGTATATGTCGGTTCTAAAAATGGAACAAAAACTTGGAATGACCTGTTCTGACGGTGACCGAATACAAATGCAGTTGCACGTTTTTTTGCAAATGTGGCCGTTCCTGATGATGATGATGATGATGATGATGATGATGATGATGATGATGATGATGATGATGATGATGATGATGATGATGCTGTTGATGATGATTATGACGAGGATGAGGATGATGAGGTTAAAATCCAACTCTACTGTGAGTCGCGAATCGTTCTTTTTATACCCTTCTCATTTTCACTGTTGGAAAACGTAATTCTCTTGTGTCTGGTGGCTTGAAGTTCCTTCTTACCACATACATAAGTTAATCATATAAATCTAGATGCCGATTCACGCGGCAACGGATTCATTCCAGTCGGACGAATGAAGCTTGCCCCTTTAGTCCTAAATACAGCTGTACCTTCAGGCACCCGGACTTCGTACAAATAACGCCGGAATGAATTAAAAATTCTTTTGGGGTCGAACACTGGACACTAAGTCGCACATACAATACGCGACAAGACGTGGGTCTTCTGAGGTAATAGAGTGGAGCGGTTTCGCAGTGCTCCCAGCTAGGCCACATTTTTGCGTTCCACGGGAGTTACCACGCCCACCGTAGCGGAAAACGGTCTCATCAGTATTCCCTATTGTTTTGTCTAAGTTAACTCTAGTTGGGTAACGATATACAGATTATTAACCTCGGGCCACACAAGATGCCTGCTTGTAGCTCAGTTATGACAGCCCCTAGACAACAGGAGAGCTGTCCTGGAAGTTCCTACTAACTCGGAAGCTTTAAGTCAGATTTTTTCAGCTTTGATGATCACAACATTAAACGAAAAGGCGATTCACGTGAATTACACATGTTTTCTCTCAACTCTGAAGACTCGATGACTGACGGGAAGTTTCAATCACTTCCTAGATGAAAGAATCTTCTCATTTACAGTGAACTGTATACTCAGAATAATGGGTATCACCTGGTGAGAGAAGCCCTGTATTGAAAGGATCCGCTTTAAAACTCAAGATCAGTCTGATTAAACATGGCGAAACCCAACCAAATATGGCTAAGAACGTCTTTATCGCCTATCCACGTGACACAAGCTTAGAGAACGTTTTTAACCGTAAAACTGGGTCACGAAATTTTAAGCTACTGGCAGAAAAATGCGCGTTAGAAGAATCTTTACGGTAAAAGATGGTTTCAACTAAAGAGCGTATAGAGTGTTCACCACTGAGTCATATGTTCGCATTATGCCATAATTTACGTACAGTACTGTCTGCATAGTATTTGAAAGCTAACGTCAGTCCTCATGCGAGCAAAGTTTTTGGTTTGCCATAGTCTTCAGTTAGTCCAAAGCATCAAATTTCCGTGTAAACTTGGATCTGTAGAAGCATCTTCAAAGTACGATGTGATAATGCAAACAAACTTTGGCCCAAGCTTGTGGTTTTGCGTGCTGAGCACTGAGATTCCTGAAAGTTTGTTTTTAGAAAGGCACCTACCGTTTATAAACGGTTTAGCTGATCTGTCCCAAGCTGATAAAAACGGAATGACTACCCGTATTGAATTCTCAACGGATTACGTATCCGTTGAACTGGAACACAATGTAGAGAACTTGCACAATGATTGACAATGCTTCAGTTTGAAGTGAACTGAACCGACAACGACCCTAGTCAGAATTCTCGGGGCGTGTGCCGTTTGGTTTGGGCAATTATACAGTTGGTTCAGCGGTTCTGAAATTCAAGTGCAAACTTTGGACCGGATGTTCTTACAATGACCGTTTTGTTTCACACTTTGCTCAAGTCTCAGGTTGTTAATTTTACTCTTGGTTCACAAGCAACATCCAATGACTAATGTTCTATTCAAACGGGGAACGCATTCAAGAAGGATGCAACCCATCTGCTTCTCTTTTGGTAGCGAACTGAATGCTATCTATCGGGTTGTCCTCAAGAAATAGTACTCAGCTGTTTGAATCACTTGACATCACAGGACGAAATTATGGGACCAACCGCGTTTTAACCAGAAATCTTTTACTAATGGTCATAATTGGGCGACATTTGTTCAGAAAAGAACTCAGGGGAAAATGGCTGGAAGTGGGAAGTGAAGATGATAAGCGGATGCCTTTCCGCGAGGGAATAATCAGCCAGGTTGCTCCACAGTTATTTGGTTATTTGGTTCAATTAATATATTGAACTGAATGGCTGTTCATCCGAGAATACAGATTGAGAATAATATTGCTTACTACCACCGAGTCCAACCAAACTAAACAAATAGATGATTCCATATTTTTGTGTAAAGTGAAGTGAGCGAAATCTCGTCCTAATCGCAATCACACCAGGGCTATATCATCAATTATGGCGAGAAAAAGTCCACTGACATCATCCAGAAACATTCAGTTTACGTCATTAGTTGCAGGCCTGGGATATTTATGTCAATCTGTGACATGACCTAATTAGCCACGGTGCTGAGATTTCAAGCCCTTGATAGGTGTGCTCCAAGATATCGTAAAATATCGCATTTTCATTTGTCGGTACAAAGAGATGAAGCGACTGGATATTTGTGAAAATATCATTTTAACACAAATTATTGCCTTTTGCATCACGTGGGTCTTTTGTAATCACCGACTTGTGACCTTAACTTTTGGTTCAGAAAGAGACCAAGTCTTCAGAAGCCTGTCATTAAAAAAAACATCCATCTGACTGCTAAAAACGCAAATGGATAGTTATTGGTCTCTCAGTTTTTGCAAAAGCAACTCAACTTGTTTTAATAGGGCTATGGGGAATTAGTTATTGAAATTTATTCCTTTTATAAACGGAATTTTCTGCTGGTTGCATTAGTTTGTCACATCTATTTTGCTCTTTTTACTGAACTTGATCCATCTATTTTCCCATTGTGTTCCAGTGAATTTCCACTCCATTCCAAAGATTAGCAGTGCCCTTACGGAGAGCGCATGAGTGGTTTGCTTACGCTGTCTCGCTTAGTGCGAGAAATTCAAACGAACCATGTTAATCAAAGGTAAATTTCGAAGACCGCCTAATGTCTACTTGATAAGCGTACCCGCTGAAATGGTCAGCGGTGAGGTACTTGGGGGTCCATTTTTGACGAACACTAGTTCTGAGGTGTACACCGAGGGACATGAGGTAAGAAGATCCCAACGCTGTTCTACTGTTTTGTTAATAGCAAGATAGGATGTTGTATTTGTATCGGGCGATTAATACAAGACACCCAAATGTTTGTGGCCGTATTCATTTTATCCACTGCATTGTATTGGAACTAGCATGCAAAATAAACGACTAAATAATTTGCACGGCAAACTACTTTACACTTTGCGGATATACAGAAATAGCTTATAATATATATAATCGTTCATCTGTAACACCCTTTCGGTGCCTAGTTGCCATGCCATCCGAAGGAAGCACGAAGGCTGGGATACTGCCAGGTTGCCCAAGCCTAGACAGGGGAAGTCGAGGGGCAGGGGTCGGATTCGAACCACAGACCCTCCGGTCAGTGTATTCGCGCTCTAACCATTTGAGCCATATCGCCCCAGATATAGCTTAATCTTATATGGTTCCTATGCAACCTGTCTGGTCTCCTGACATACAGCTTTGTTTGGGGGTAGACATAAAGCTGTTCACAACCGCTACTTTTTATGCCCATTCGGTGTGATCAGAAAATAATAGTCTTGCATGTAGCATCTTCTTCCGGTAACGTCATTTTGGCTGTGTTCTTGTGCTCTGAATGAAACCACATTTTCCGAAGCAGTGCCAGGGGGCCTCAAAGAGACTGACTTTTTAATAAGGCATCGACCAAGAAATGCCATAAAAATGACTAATCCACTTTCCAACTTTGGAGTGCTTTAAAAAATTATGGAATTTTAATAAAGCTGACAATCAGTAAGCGTTCCTTTGCATTTAGATACATTCTACAGTGTACCGCTCGGTGGGTTCCGACAATGTGTTATCTTTGCCTTCAGGACCGAAAATTCTGATGTCATGATTCCAATATTTGCTGCCCAAGTCAGTTTTCCGAATGGTTACCGCTGCTGTCAAACACTTAGGTACGTAATTCTCGGATCCATAACAACCGATTATCATCTAAACGGACAAAACTGTTCGTAACTTGGAAATACCCGGTCTAGCGCTGGCAAATCTTGCTAGCTCAGACAAGTATGCTTTTTTCAGGGAAACTGTTTTGGAAGAAGGGATTCCACACGACGTATGTTAGTAAGTGTATATGTTTATATGTGAGTACATGTGAATATGTACATATTAGTATTCATATGTGGGCTCCTATCTGCTTTGCGTTAGAAGCGCTGATTAGTAGTCAGGAGTTAGTCGACCAAACCGTGATCGTGTTTCACAGTATCAACTGTGCCACCGTGAAACCACGTGAATATTTTGTCAAAACTTGTCATGACCTGTAACTCGGAACAAGATAATTCTCGTAGTGATATTGCTAACAGTTCCAAATATACAGGGAAATATGGCAAGGGATTGAGGGAAAAGAATGACAGATACACAGATAACCTCAGAATGTCACAAAAGTATTGGGGTTGCTTTGTTTTGTCAAGCAGTTTACTGGTAGAAAACGTCTACTAGTTCAACTCAGTGAATACAACAGCGATTTTCGTAAGTTACAGTGAAAAATTTTCTTCAGTCGACAATTCGAAATGATATTGTTTCCATTTTATATGCCGGGTGAGAAGAGTTCAGCTTGGTTGTGCAACCTAGGTGTAAGCAAAGTTGGATTAGTGCAAAAAACAAAATGAAACATTTTGT